TACTCTCTGTGGTGTTGATCTCTCCAGCTCCTGAGGGATGTCATGGGACTGGAAGTAGAATTTATGTCAAACTCCCCTGCGAGGGAACGCGCTGCTAAAAGCTGGCTTTGTCTCATTTGTATTTTCTTTTTTTTTTTTTTTTTTACTAGGCAGTGTTTGGGCTATAGACACGGATAATTCTGCATCTTGAATGCTTTGCACCAAATTGCCACATCAGCACTAAATACCTCCACTTAATTTTTCATTTGGACCCGATGAAACATTTTTTCCCATGGAAGGAAAAGTCTGGTCTTTGTGATCGTGGCACTGCCAGCCCAAGTTACAGTAAAGGTTAATCACAAACAAGAGACAAGTAAAGTAGACAAAGAGCATCATACACTTCACTTTTCAATGGATGTTTTCATAAATGTATGAATAATTTAAATTATCATTGCCGAGTATTTATTCGAGTGTTTCAGGGGAAAAAAATGCCTCCTCTTTTTTTTTTTTTTTTTCTTTTTTTTTCTTTTTCCCCTCCTTGATTCTTTTCATTTCTGTCTCATCTCTTTTATGTGCTGCATCGGCTGTTTTCTTGCCATCTGAATCAGTTTTTTGGAACAATGGGATGTATGAGGGCTGAGGGGGCAGTGGAAGAATACAGCCCTTGTTGTACACTCTGTGACTTGACATTGATTAATGAGGGTGCGGACATGGGCAGAATTTGATAGAGAGAGAAGGGGAAATTGGAGGACCTGAGGGCACCAGAAGGAGGAGGGCAAGGAGATGACAGAGAGGAGCAGAAGGATGCCAGTGACTGCACAGCGAGGGGTGGAAGTCACCCCACCCCGGGCCAGAGGTCTGCAATGGGGCAGGGACACTTCCATGACACTGCCATGGCAGGACAGTGTCCCCTCACAGTGACAGGGACATTTCAGGCAGCATCTCACACCTCTCCAGGTTTATCCTGCACAGCCAGACCTGCTGTGCCAATGTAACCCTTTGTCATGTGAATATTTGTCCCAAAAATGCTGTTGGAATCACTTTCCCCTCTTCTTCCCCTCATTCCACCCCGTTGGTTTAACTCCAAAACCTGAACACACAGAGGTTACAACTTCCCTGCAGGAACCTAAAACCCTGTGCTGAAACAACCCTGAGATCCAGACCTTGTGCATGCAGGGGAGGGATGGATTGGTAAAAATCTGGAGAGAGAGAAGTCTCCAAAATCCTGTTCTTGCAGTTAGATATCTCTTGTTTCCTCATGTGAATAAGCCAGAAGAAGTGATGCTGGTCAGAAGAGAGTTTGCACACTGATAAACCAGAGAAGTTTCAGGAAAGCTGAAAGTTTGGTGTGGTTCTTAGCTGACTTTTTTAAAAAACCCACCTTGTCCCTTCAGAAGTAGAGGCCCAAAGTGAGCTTAATCAATTGGTGAAGTTGTAGAACAACAACGTGTTCCTTTCTGGGTGGTTCAGGTGACTGCAATCATTTAGGATCCAATTCTTGAAGTAACCCAGAAAAAGATGGAGAGAAAATTTTTACAAGAACAGCGACAAGGGGAGATGACTTCAAATTGACAGAGAGTGAGTTTGGATTAGAGATGAGGAAGAAAATCTTCCCTGTGAGGGTGGTGAGGTGTTGGAACAGGGAGGTGGTGGCTGCCCCATCCCTGGCAGTGTCCAGGGCCAGCTTGGACAGGGCTTGGAGCAACCTGGGATAGTGGAAGGTGTCCCTGCCCATGGCAGGGGTGGAAGGAGATGAGTTTTAAAGTCCCTTCCAACTATTCTGAGCCTTTCCCACCCTGCTCCAGGACTGGCTGTGGGTCCCTGCTGCTGCTTTGCTGAGCTGGGAAGTGCAGGGATGGAGCTCTGGGACACAAGGTGAGCCACATTCCCCTTTCCAGCATGTGGGGCACAGGTTGTGGGTTTGCTGCTGCTGGTCCTTCAAGGTGCACCTGAATAATCCTGAACCAGGAACTCTTGGGTCCTGCCCTCTGCAGGGAAAATCAAAGCTGCTGGCTCAGACAGGTCCCCAAAGTGCTCAAAAGCCACCTGAGAGCTTCACAGTGCCCTGTGTGAGGTGTGAGGAGCAGGGGAACCACCACAGCTGCTCTGGCAGGGAATTACAGCACGTCTGGTACCCCAGTAAAGACAGGACTTAAGGTACAGTTTGGAGTTATTGCTATTAAAAACATCTCTATAATCCTCCTGGTCAGAAATCTTTACAAACCCCACTTTTGATGAAACCTGGAAACAAAGCTGCACTTTCAGAAATTTCAAGCACAAGGAGAGAGAGAGAGAATCCACCCAAACCAGCCCGTTCTCAGACTCAAATTCAAATTGTTTTGCCTCTCTGCAGCGCCCCAGATAAATTCGATATCTGCCAGCCCATGGACTGTTCATGTGCTAATCCCACTCAGACCCTCATTCAGGGCTGGTTTCTTTTGCATAAAACATTAAATGTTGGTTTGAGGGGACAGTTGTCCCTACCCCCTGTGTGGGATCTCTCCCCACCAGCCTCTGGCCACTCCAACCCTGTCTCATTTTCCCAGAGTGAAAGATCCTGGGTCTGCTGTGAATATAAAAGGAGCACAGAAAAGTCTCACTGATGAGCACAGAATCTGCTCCCTGTCTCCCCTCTGCCCTGACCACCACCAGCTTTAATCCCTCACCCAAAGAGCATCACAAAAATCCTGCTCCTGGCTTAGGTTCACACAACCACTTTGGGATTTCTGGGTGCAGAGGCAAAAGCAGGACCCTGTCCCCCAACATCTGGCTGAGAACGAGGTCTCAGACTTTTTCTCTGAGCAGACTCTTCCAGCCTTCCCCTTTCTCCCTCCTCTTTGCATCCAAGACAAGTGGCCCAGTGATCACCTGCAATGGCAGCCCCAGAGGGTGACCTGAGCCCTAGAGCTACTGCTGGAACAAATGAGAGAGCTTAACTAGAGCAAGACTGGCATAAAAAGGAAAGGGGAAAAAAGAGAGGAACAAAGATTCCGTCCAATTTGCTCTTTTGGGCATTGTAAAAACTGGCCTGTTTCCCAGTATATCACTCTGCCATTGAATAAGGTCAATTGCAGAGCAGTTCTTCAGTCATCCTGATGGGTTTTCATGAGAAAGTGAATGGAGTGCAAATTAGCCAAAGTCGTCACAAGCTTTTTTACTGTCACTCCAAGCCTGACAGTCCAAAGGAAAATGAGGATTAATAAATCTAACGAACTTTCTCCATTATCCAAGCCAGGTTAGGAAACTATTTATTGTCTCTCTTTTTCTGTGTTTCATCCATTTCGCCTACTGTGGTGAAGCATTTGGAGAAGAAAGGAACAACAGCCGCACGCACACACACGCTCACACACACCCCCAGAGCTCAGCCCCTCCAGAGCCCAGCACAGCCATGGCCACGGCACAAAATAAAGGCACTGCCAGCAAAAAAATCAAGTTTTTAAAATCACTCTGCCTCGTACACGCCGTGCACAGCTTCAGATGAATCCTCGTAATTGCTCGTCCCCGTTAATTAATATGTGCTCAGTGTGTTGAACGTAAATATTTTATATAAGAAAGAAGTGCTGCTAGTAAAGCTTTAAAATTACTTTTTTTTTTTTTTTTTGAGGGCAGAAAATAAGTTTCAAGTGAAAGGATTAGTTTCAAGTGAAAGGAAAAGTTTTTTTGACTATTATACCCACGTGTGAAGTGGATTTTAGTGCAGTTTCAGTAATTTTTTTTTGTTTTCAGTAGCTACTGAGTGGACACAAATCTCACCTAATTCATAAAAAATAATTCGTACTTGAGTAGCTTCTAAAACTTGCTTAACTTAGAGAACTGCCTGGAGCATTCCCAGAGAACAGGAGGTCACACAGAAGGGATGCAAAGGAGTGATGCTAGGAACCATTTAGGCTTTTTGGGTTGGAAGTTTAAGCTGTGTGTCTGTTTATGCAGATATTTGTGGGTTTAAATCAGGACAATGAAAATCTGTCCAAGTTCACAGCTGTTACCTATGGAACTCTTTTACACTGTAACTCCTACAGAATTTTCCTTCAATATTCCCAAAGTCCTTAAAAACTTCCCTGAACAAGGCCTTGTGCTGCCTGAAAATAGATGTTTGAGCTGTCAGAATTCTTGTTTTCAGCACCATTTAAAGTCATTTCCCATTTGCAGTAAAACAGGTGGAGAAAAGGAGACAAAGGGATCAGTCCCTTGCTCCTGTCCTTGGGAATAAATGCCTGAGAGGAGAGCAGCCCAAATTCCAGGTTTCTGCTGTAATTTCAGCTAGAAGTGATCAAACCTCTCAGTTTCTGGGGATTGGGAATGCAGTAATGGTGGGAGCAAGCAAAATATACAATACACAAAATTTGGCACCTGGATCCTCATTAAAACCCCCCTGACATTGTGAACAAGGACAAAGATGGTGAGGGAATATTGAACTGCTCACACAAAACCAACCATGGCTTTTTAAAACCAAAATGCTGAACTTCAACACTGGCTACAGCCAAAAATTATCCCATTTCCCCATTTCTTCCCAGTAACCATGAAAACTTATTTCAAACTGTGCTTCATGTTGGTGCTGACAATGAGTTATTCCTCTCCCAGTAAAATCTCCTAAACTTTCTTCATTGATAACCAGGAAAAAGTTTAATAGACAAAACACAAGGTTTAGTTATGGAAGCTACTAAAAAAAACCCAAAAAACCAAAAAAAACTTTAATTTCTTCCATCTTTTTTTGACACATTAAAAACCATAGCAAAGAAATCATCAAATACCTGTTTGGTATTTAATCCTGCAGTGGCTGCAGTGGGTGATAAACCAGGGGGAAGCCAACTCCAAGAGTTTGTTTCAACACTTTGTTTTCAGCTTTTCTGTGGAGACACTCACCACAATAAATTCCACCTGAGGAAGCTCATGCTCCTGTCTGAGTAACCGAAGAAAAATTGTGGAGCATTCAGAGCAATCTGGGCTTTGTTGAGATTTCCCTTCTCCTACTTTTACAGTCACATGTCATTCCATTTAATAAGAGAGAAAACTTTCCTGACCAGCTAAATTATGCCATTTGAGACGTTAAGGAAAACACACATACCCTGAAGTAAAGGTAAAATTATGCTGCAATCATCAAATCAGCCTTCTCTTCTTTATCCCATCTGTAAATTCTCCTTGGGAAAGCTGGAGCAGGGGCTCCACGAGCAGCACAGCCCTACCTGCCTGCCTCTGCAATTGCTGGTATTTTAATCTCATCAAAGAATCCGAGTTTTTCTTCCTGCTGTTTTGACTTTGCTGTCTCTTAGCCCTGTCACATTCACTAGTTTTGAATAAGTGCAGAACTTGCATTTACAGAATTTGCAATCTGCGAGATTGTTTAAGTGATTTATCAAATACTTTGATTGAACACTTATTGCTGCTCCAGTTCTGAATCTCATTTACATTGACTGGGTTTGACATAAGCCTTTGGAGTGAGCACAGAAACGAGTCCAGGCTCTGGCAGGTACAGCACGAGGGGAAAAAAGTTCCACCTCCAGTCCTAGCACTTCTGGAATTCCACCCTGATAAAATCACTGCCCTCTATTCCTTATTAAGCATTTTATGTCTGAGAAAACCACAGTCAGATAGACTTTATATTATTGGTGATGCAGCACAACAGCTCTGAAAGTTGGTTCAGAAAACACAGAGCATCCTCCAGGGTTCTAAACCAGGAAATTTGGATTTTCTCTCAGTGGAGATGAAGGGCCCAGACCATTGGCAGGCTCTGCTCAGCCACAACCACATCACCTAAATCCAACTTACAATCACTTTGCACTCACAGACAACACTCAGACCACAGAAAGGCTGTAAGTCCTGAAATACCTAAAAAATTGAAAAAAATTGTGATTTTTTAAATCATTCAGATGGATGATGCACCTTCTGAGGGATTCTAAGCAAATTCGGGGCAAATGGATTTGAAGGTTTACAGAGACAACACCCAAAGGGATGCAGCAAAACTCTCCTAAATTAGAACTCAGTGCACCCCAGACAGACACAGGAAGGCTCAAGGCCTCTGCTCCATGGAGCCATTTCCATTTTAACTATTTGTGTATTAAATTCATGCAATTCCCTCTTTTTTTCCTAGGTTTATGTAGAACAAACACAGTCTCCAAGACCACGTGCTGCCTGCCACATCCCTTTCCATGGGAGAACCACTCAGAAACAAAACTTAGCCACGATTAAAAAGCACAGGAGCTCTTATTATTTGCAATAAATCACAAATAACACAAAGAAGAGGGCCAGAGGCAGGGTGGATTCCAAGCCCCTGGGATCCCAGGGGGATCAGGTACAGAGCTCACTGGGAGTAACAAGCCAGCAGAGGTAGAAGGAAGGAATGAGGAGGATTTCAGAGAAATCAGAGATTAAATGAAATGCTGCTGCAGCACAAGGGTCCCGAGGCTTTCTGGCTAAATCTGTTGTCTTTCAGGCTCATGGCCGTTTTCAATGCTTCCTCCAAACTCATGTGGGATAATGCACTCCCAAAAAGTAGCTCTAGGTATGCACATTCTTAAAATCAACCACTCAACACGCATCCAAATAAAAGTGAGCTTTCCTCCCCATTTTCCCCAAGAAAGGAAGCTCAGAGCCCTTTTATGCATTGTGAATGGCCCACCTAATTTAGACTGAATTATACCCTAACCTTCATTTCCCCTTTACTTCTTTGCTCCATTCAGCAGTTTCTGACTTCAGCTAATTCACTAACAATCCCAGCTGGTCCTTCCCAGCTCCCAGTTCTTTAGCACATTGTCCAAGGAAACTATGTGCTCCCATCTACACTGGTATTCCACTCTCCAATTAACCTACTGCTGAGAGGCTTTACCCCTTTCCACCATCCATTCCTCTGCACAGACATTTATTATTATTTTTTTTTTTTTTTAACCTTTTACTTCTTGAATTAAAGTGCAGGAGATCCCTTCCAGGTGAGAAGGTGTTAAATTTATTTGCTGAAGGTTACTCAGGAAGACACAACCCAGGATGGGGGTGAGAGCCCTGAAAGAAAAACCTGCTTGATCTCCAGCTCTTTTCAAAGCTGAGTGTTAAGGCACAGATGTTTAAGGTAGAAGTAAACAAATAACAAAAGAATTTCCACACTTGCTCAGTGACAGGCGTGTGCTTGTTCTGAGCACTGAACCCTGGCAGAGGAGCCAGCTCAGCCAGAGGTGTGGCTGGGGTTTGATCCACACACAGATTGCACTGCTGGAGACAGGGGCACACATTTGTGTTCTTGTTCTTTAAAAATAATCAATCGAGGTTTTGTCACACTGTTTAGTTAGCAAAAGATTTTATCAAAAATTTTTATGGAAAAGTTTTATCAGTTTTTTTGCCACAGAGAGTTTTGCCATGTCTGCAACAGAGAAGCCTTGATCCACGTTACAGACCTATTCCACTGATTACTTTATACATAAATATATATTTATAACTATAATATAAATGTTATATATATATATTCATAGTTATAAATAAAGTACAAAACTTTAGGTCTGACCAGGAACACGAGCCCAATCATTTGGGTGCCTGATCTCATCACATTTGCACAAATAGAACAAAACCAGCCAGAAACTGTTCTGCCACTTTTGGGACAAAGCCAAGGCTTCAACATCTTGGAGTCCCTTACCCAACAACATTTTACACCCAGAACTGCCACAGCAAATGTTAATAAACCTCTCTGGATTCAGACTAGAGCCTTGTCTCTCTTACAATGATCCTGCACATCACCCCTGCTGATAAAAAGTGTCCACCCTTCACCTAAACTCGTATGGTTATCCCAAAAACTCCTTCCTTACGTGGGTTAAAATCACATTTTAGAAGATCTGAAATTCCATGTTTGCTTCCTGAAATCCATTTAACATTTCCCTCTCTCCCACCATGCCAAGTTGCCTTCTTTCTGGGTAAATGGCCCAGATCTCATCATTGACAAGATCCCAGATAAAACAAAGACAGGGGAAAATGTAATTACTGGCTATTAAACACCCACCTCCCCCAGTTCCTCCTTTTCTCGTGCATTTGCTTAGAAGCAAGTGAGCATAACAACAGCCCCGTGCTCAGAAAGTGGGGCTGGGAATCAGGCAGTGAGAAAGTCAATATGGAGCAGTGTGTCCATTTGTTTTGATTTATCTCACTAACTTCAATTGACAGTTAATTCATCAGAGGAGGAAAATGCCAGTCTAGTGAAAACACAACTCGTGAAGGAGAGAGAAGTGAGTGGAAAACACAGAGTGTGGATAATACAGGTAATAAATTAAAGGATACAGTATCAGTATTTTATCATTCCCATTCTGGATTTGCTATATCCCGACTCTTGCCAATTACAATTTATAGTGAGCAGTAAATTTACACTGATTTATTTCACACACACACACACACACGCCCTTTACAAAATGAGGTGACTTTGGAAAACAGGAAAAGACAGAGAAAAGAGTCACTTTGGCTCAAATTCCTAAATCTGAAGTTTCCAGCAGGAGCTACAAACCCTTGTAACAAATCACAGGCGAGATGAGAATTTACACTGAGAACATTGGCTTGGATCTAAAATTCACAAAAATATTGAAGGGTTGAAAATGGGGTTTGGAGCAGTGACACCAGTGCAGGGGGTGGGGATGCACTGGGAGCCTCCCATCTCCCTGTGGGCTGATCCTCACAGGGCTGGGTGTCCCCCCTCACCCAGGGAAATCTCCAGGTATTCCCTGGTTTATCCTGGTTTATCTCCTCCCTTGGACTCATTTGTTATCACCCAGCAACATTTCATTCCTCCCTGCTCGGGGGATTTTTGATTTCCCTCTCTCCCGAAGGATGTTTTTCAGGTTGGTCTTTGCCTGCCCTTAGGACAACTTCAGTGACAATAAAAGCAGACAGAACATCCCTGCTGGGATGAATGTATGAATTTATTTTATTCACACCATCCCCATCCTCTCTGAACCTCCTGATCTCCTGTGTTCTGGAATTCACCTCTCACTGCAAAAAGCAGAACTTGCTTTTATTTAATTTAAACACTTTCCCCAGTAGTTTCCTCAAATGCTCCTGTAAAAGGATCCTGTTTGTTCCTAGACAACAATCCCAGTTTGAAGATTGGACACAACTTGGATTATTCTTCCCTGCATATTCTAAATTAAATGACCTGGTGTTTATTTGAATGGAAGTTAACCTGTGATTTTTTTTTTGGCCCATTCACTGAGTTTTGCAGGGCTACTGAACATTTTGGGCACCATCTCTGATGCTGAACTTCCATCTGAGTAGTGCTCCTCCTCCCCTCAGCAGCAAACCCCAATTTCTGCTCCAAAGAGCACAGACAGCTCAACAAGGAGCTGAACTTCCTGCCTTCTTTTTTTCCCTTAAATCACCTTCTATGCTTATTAAACCCCAAGCACAGCTGCAGGGGACTAGAAGAAATTAAGCTTCTTTCTGTCCATTTCCCACAAAACTGAACAAGAGCCAAAAATAATCTGTCCTGGCTGAAGCATCTGCATTTTGCCTCCACAACTCTCCAGAAAGGCACCATCTCCATCTCCCTGCCCTGCTGCTGAAATTCATTTTGGAGATGACAAAACCACTTAGGAATAGCAAATGATCCTTCACTGCTGAGGGTGGGAGTGTCCATAAATCAAAGTTTGGGACAATGGTTCAGTTGATGTTTAAGAGATGAGTTGCCCTCATTTTTGGTTCCAGCACGAGTAAACTTAGTGCAAGTTACAAAAGTGCTTGATTGCAGCAGTTTTGAATTGTTAAGGTAAAAAGGGCATTAAACACAACCACCAAAAAAAGATTTATGGTTTTTTTTTGTTTAGATTAATTTTTTTTTTATTTTAACTCTGAAAATCCTACACCTTCCATATTATTGTCTAAAGGCTGCCAAGACACAAATATGGGGCAGGACACAGAAGAAAGGAATCACAGCCTGAAATTTCACCCAAATGCCTAAATTAAATCACAAACCTTGCAAAGGTTTGGAGAAGTCTGGAGACTTCTGTTATGTTCACAGGGTACTGCACTGGGGGTGGTTATTGCTCAGAAAGGGAAATACCAATTATTGC